GCCATCAGATATTCATATTCTAAGTCATGTGTGGTTGTGCATGCAAAGGGATGACAAGTTTACAATAAGAAAGAACTATGCTTTTTTTTTTTTTCCTGAGCAAAGAACACAATGTCCTTGAAAGCTGGAGGAGAGCCACAACATCCATTTCCTTTCCTGGTATCAGCCTATTTCTTTCAGGATTATCTATCATGACTCTACAGTCAGCATCAGCATCTTCTCGGCTAGAACCAAGGTCAAGCTTTGAAATTCAAAAAGATAAAAAGAGAGAGAGAGAGAGAGAGATCCTAATTTAACAACACCACTTTCCTTTGGTAAATATAAGGAGAAGAATGTTTTCATGCCAATAATATTAACTTTCATTAATATTAACTTTTCACAGAATAGTAATTCTTGAGGGAAATCCCACTAAGAGCCACGGTGGCGCAGTGGTTAGAGTGTAGTACTACAGGCTACATCTGCTGACTGCAAGCTACTGCAGTTTGGCAGTTCAAATCCCATCAGGCTCGAGGTTGACTCAGCCTTCCATCTTTCCAAGGTGGGTAAAATGAGGAGCCAAATTGTTGGGGTCAATATGCTGACTCTGTAAAATTGCTTAGAAAGGGCTGTAAAGCACTGTAAAATGATATATAAGTCTAAATGCTATTGCTATTAAATCAGCTTTTACCAGCCTGTTACTCTCTCTGATATCAATTACAATTCCCAAGATATTTTATTCCCTGAAAGGAGACCAAATTGTTTCTCACCTCTATCGAAACAAATATTTAAACCCTGTACCCTTCAGACACCAAGTTCTTCCTTCCTTTTCTCTTTCAGTCCTTTTTTCACAATCTGGCTCTCTCCAAATGTACCAGAACCGTAAATTCTAGCTTGCATGGCCCAAGAACACACATGGATGAAACAAGAGAGCTACTCCTTGCAACCCCTTCAGACTTTGCAGATCCAGTCTCTACTCTGTAGCCTCTGAACCCCAAGCAGCATCTTGGTAGTTGAGTACTTTGAATAGTAGAAGAAGGACTGTTACACTGCAGGACTAGGCTTTCCTAAGCATCAGAATTATGAAGAGCACTAGCTGAGGTAGGAAATAGGCATGATAGTAAACTTTTGGAAACTTTATAAAACAGAATCAGGCTGGAGACAATATAGCATTTCAACCTGTCTTCTAATTTCACCTGTGTCAGAACCTGTGACTGAACTACTTTCCTGGATACATCAAGCTTAACTAAGACCTCCACTATTCTTCTAATCTATCTCTATTAAGCAGTACTTGTTGGCTTCAATTCCATGGTCTAAGCCTTTGGCTAAGCCTTTGGCTCTAGATCTCTCTTTATGGTTTTGACCCTGGCTATGTCACTGTCCTTCTCTTTCAATCCCCTGAAGACTCATAGGATGGAACATAGACTTCGCAGCCAGAATTTAGAATTGTCTGGAAATTCTGAGTGTTATTTTGCAACATATCTGAAACTTGGACCTCTGTCATCACACAAACCCGAAGGGCTGCACAATTGTTTATTCAGGTAGTCCTCGGATTATGACCATAATTGAGCCTAATCATAAAATGGTCCACCACCCACCTCAAAAAATACTGTAGATGGGGCCCCTTTATTAAATATCTTAAAGGATGCCAACCCAGTTCAACTCAGCTTTTAAATCTATTGTATGGTGGAAGTGGCGGACGAGCACCTAACCCCACTTGCATGAGTAGCAGGCAAGCATGTGTGCACTCCATTTGCATAAGCGGCAGGTGCATATTCCCGCCACTCATGCAAATGGAACTGAGCACGCGTGCTTACCCACCATGCCTGTGGAACCATCCCCTCTTATCCACTTCCACGCCCATCCACAAGGCCAAAAAGTTTGGGGAACTCTGGATTAAGGGATCAGATGAATTTGAATTAAAGAAACACTTTGAGGTTAATTAAAAGGATCCTCTCTGGTGTGGAAAAATGTTTGCTTACAAGCTGACTATTTTAAAGGATAAGTTTAGCACCTAGTTACAAGAGGGTCTCAAACAGTGGTGAAATCCCCCTGGTTCTATCCAGCTCGCTGAACCGGTAGTACTAGCTGCGGGAGGCTCCGCCCACCCACCGGGACATCATTACGTCCCATTTTTTAACCATTTGCGCATGCGCAGAAGAGGCACGCAGGAGCGCGCCCAAATGGGTAGCGACGGTAAGTAGATTTCACAGCTGGTCTCAAGCTATTTAATTTGATAATGGAATCAAAAGCTATTATTGAAAAGGAACAAGCCCTGCTGAATAAAATCAAAACAGATTTTAAGGAGGATTTTAACATTTCAACTAACAAAAATGAGCTGGTTAGAATATTATTTGTGGGATTTAAAGATTGCTTATAGAAAGAAGAAAAAAATACAAAATTGGTTTATTTGATTATAGTTAAAATAATGGTTATCTGTGGTATATAATGAAGAGGATTTATTTTTTACTGAAATTAGATAATGATAGATATTTTTGGCAACGTTTAATTGAATGCAATGAATTAAATTGTAAAAGTATTTTGTGTAACAGAGGCTAGAAAGGCTGGGTTATTTTGGGCCGGTCACTCTCGCAGACCAACCCACCTCACAGTGATGTTATGAGGAAAATATAGGAAGTAGGTGTATTGGATATGTTTGCCATCTTGAGATACTTGTAAAAATAACAAAGGTAGGATACAAATATATTAATTAAAAATTGGAATTGGAATTGGATTATTTGAAGAGAGGGATCAGAGGGAATTTATTTAAATGGAAGTAGAGACAAGTTGTTGTTTCTGTTAGCCCTTACTGGACTTTTACTGATTAATACCGTTTCCCCGAAAATAAGACATCCCCTGGTATTGCAAGCACTATATTGGGCTTTTGAGCGCATGCGTTAAAATAAGCCTCCCCCAAAAAATAAGCCCTCCCCAAAAATATTTAAATGCAGAACTGGAAATCAGGTAAGACAGCAAGAGGAGCCCCATCTTGGTCCACGTGCCCCAAAATAATAAGGCCTCCCTGAAAATAAGGCCAAGTGCTTATTTTGGGATTCAAAAAAATATAAGACAAGGTCTTATTTTTGGGGAAACACAGTAAGGAGATTGAAAATTTAGAGATGAGTTTATAGAAAATGGAGTGAGGTATGGAATGAAAAAGCATTTAATTCTAATTTAAGGGGGAAATTTCTTCTAATTTTTCATATATATATATATATATATATATATATATATACATATATACACACACACATATATATATATATATATATAGAGAGAGAGAGAGAGAGAGAGAGAGAGACAGAGAGACAGAGAGACAGAGAGAGAGAGAGACAGAGAGAGAGAGAGAGAGAGAGAGAAAGGGAGAGGGAGAGGGAGAGGGAGAGAGAGTATTTATTCTTTTGTGATAGTTAACAATCACAAAAAAGTTAAGTAAGTTGTTAAAAAAAGAAAAGAAAAAAGTTAGTACAGTATCTCTGCACAAGAGACAGTGGGAAAGGACTTTTACAATAGCATAGTCCAACCCATTGGCAACTTGCCCTGGCCTGCTGTGTGGTTTTTTTGGTGTCAGAGAATGCCTCTTTTAAAATCTCTACCCTTTTTCTTGTATAGTCTTGAATGTCAGGGTTAATACTTGTTTAAAATATTTCTTTGTGCTGCTTGAAATATTCTGCTGCACTAACTTTATTCTCTGCCACAAGATTTCTGTATGTTATATTTGCCATTGTTAATAATTTCCCATTATTGTTCTTATAAGCCTCTCCAACACTGTTAGCAGGCAACAGCATAGGAGTATCATTAATCAATCAACAGGAGATGGGATCTATTTGTTCTTCATTTTAAAAGGATGTGCACACAAGTTATACTTCTTCTGGGATAAAAACAGGCAGATCCAAGGACAGATGAGATCAGGGTGCAAAGACATGCTATTCTCACCAAGGTCCTTTCTGCTGGCACCCAAATTTAAAATGGCCCCAATGCAGAAGTGCTTTGCCGCTCTTTTTTGGGGGGGAGGGGGTCTTTTTTCAATTTCCCAGTTTAGTCTACAGCTCTGATATTCCCTAGAAATCTGCCATACTAATCATCAAGAGAAAAAACTTTTGTTTTTATTTCCTTTAACAAACCCTATCTTTCTGGAAATAGAGATAGATTCATGCATGCATGCATGCATGCATTCATTCATTCATTCATTCATTCATTCATTCATTCATTCATTCATTCATTCAAGATGTTTCTGTGGCCACCCAACTCATGATTGCTATTCTGGGCAACTTGCAAAGGGTTTACTTTTAAGAGAATTAAAAAAAGAACCAGCAATAGTAAGAACAATAAATGCAGCTGAACCAAAGCACAATAATATTTCATGCTCCCATCCCATTGCAAGATGGGCTCATCCAGTGGTGGGATTCAGCCGGTTCGGATGAATCAGTAGTTAAATCGCTGGATGGCCCTGCCCCACCCCTTCCAGGACTCCCCACGCGTCCCATTTTGGCTCCCAGGTAAGTGCAGGGAGGCCTCCAAGGCCCAAAACGGGGCGCGAGAAGGTGCTCCCAGGGGGGTACAAGAGGCAGAGTACTGCCTGTCACACCCCCTGGCCATGCCCACCCAGCTGGTCATTGGGGCAGAGAACCGGTTGTTAAATTATTGGGCTCATCCAACATCTTGGCTGATGCTCAGGGAAGAACCAGGTCTTCAAGACTTTAGGGAGGTTTAGGGAGGTTACTCTTATTCAGCCTTGGAACCAGTTTTTTTTAATGTCAATGATTGATTGTGGCATAATTCAAGAATCTCCAGTCATGTCTAAATTCATTAAAGCAGAGGAAAAAGACATAAATAGGAAAAGTGGACTGTATCTCTGAGAATTCTTTGCCACTTCTGTAATGACAGGAGTGATGGAAGTCAAAAATTGTCTAGTCTTACATTAAGGGAACTCTGTCTTCCAAAACTAACTGCAGGCACTCAATGGCCATAAACTAACAGGGACATAAGAACCCATGTGTTTGTCTTATAAATGTGCCCATTACCTTCAGGAGATGTTGTGCTGTGTAGAATCCAGCTGGTCCACTGCCTACAATACATATTCTAGGTCTGAACTCGGCTGTGGAAAGAAGCCGCTTGATACCTGAGAGCAGAGAAAAAGAAGAAATTACATAAACTGGTCCTTGATTTACAAACATTTTGTTTAATAACTGTCTGAAGTTACCACAGCACTGAAAAAAGTGACTTATGACCATTTTTCACACTTATATGACTGTTGCGGCATCCCCACAGTCACATGATCAAAATTCGGATGCTTGGCAATTAGTTCATATTTATGATGGTTGCGCTGTCGCCATTGCACAATCTTTTGTGACCTTATGACAAACAAAGTCAATGGAGGAGCCAGATTCACTTAACAACATTGTTACTAACTTAACAACTGCAGTGGTTCGCTTAACAACGGTGGGAAGAAAAGTCATAAAATGGGGCAAAGCTCACTTAACAACTATCTTGCTTAGCAGCAGAAATTTTGGGCTCTAGCGTGGTCGTTATTATTTATTATTATTATTATTTATTGAATTTCTATACCGCCCTACTCCCGAAGGACTCAGGGCGGTGCACAGCCATGAAATAAAACACATAAATATACAAAATTTAAAATCGAATAAAATGAATTAAATAAATTTGGCTGAATTAATATCCAATTTAAAATACCCATATTTTAAAATCCATTAAAAATTTAGAATTTACACTTAAAAGGGGGAAGATTTAGGCGAGGCCAGCTTGATGAAACAAAAGCGTCTTCAACTCGCGGCGGAAGGTGCGCAGATCCGGAATCCTCCGTATCTCTGGGGGGAGCTCATTCCAGATCGTCGGTGCCCCCACAGAGAAGGCTCTCCCCCTAGGGGCCGACAGCTGACATTGTTTGGCCGATGGCACCTGGAGGAGCCCCTCTCTGTGGGAGCGTACTGGTCGGTGGGAGGCTGTTGATGGTAGTAGGCGGTCCCGTAAGTAACCAGGTCCCAAGCCATGGAGCGCTTTAAAGGTGGTAACCAGAACCTTGAAGCGCACCCGGAAGACCACCGGGAGCCAGTGCAGCTCGCGCAGGAGAGGTGTTACATGGGAGCTCCATGTTGCTCCCATAACCACCCGCGCGGCCGCACTCTGCGCCAGTTGGAGCCTCCGGGTGCACCTCAAGGGGAGCCCCATGTAGAGAGCATTACAATAGTCCAGACGAGAGGTGACGAGGGCATGAGTGACTGTGCGTAACGAGTCCCGATCTAGAAAGGGACGCAACTGGCGAATCAGGCGAACCTGATGAAAAATCCTCCCGGTCACGGCCGTCAAGTGCTCTTCTAAAGACAGCCGTGAGTCCAGGAGGACGCCCAAGTTACGAGCCCTTTCCGTGGGGGCCAATGATTCGCCCCCAATAGCCAGCGATGGCGCCAGCTGACTATATTGGGACGTCGGAAACCACAGCCACTCGGTCTTGGATGGGTTGAGCCTGAGCCCGTTTCTCCCCATCCAGATCCGCACGGCCTCCAGGCACGGGGACATCACTTCAAGGGCATCGTTGGGGTGGTCCGGGGTGGAGATGTACAGCTGGGTGTCATCAGCGTACAGATGGTACTTCACCCCGAAACCACGGATGATCTCGCCCAGCGGCTTTACATAAATGTTGAACAGAAGGGGCGAGAGAACCGATCCCTGCGGCACCCCACATATAAGGGGCCTCGGGGTCGATCTCTGCCCCCCTGTCAACACAGACTGCGACCGGTCAGAGAGAAAGGAGGAGAACCACCATAAAATGGTGCCTCCCACCCCCAACCCTTCCAGCCGGTGCAGCATGATACCATGGTCGATGGTATCAAAAGCCGCTGAGAGGTCTAACAGGACCAGGACAGAGGAACAACCCCTGTCCCGAGCCCTCCAGAGATCATCAACCAACGCGACCAATGCCGTTTCCATGCTGTATCCAGGCCTGAAGCCCGACTGGAACGGATCTAGATACGACGCTTCATCCAGGTACTGGGGTAGCTGTCGCGCAACCACACTCTCAACAACCTTCGCAACGAAGCAAAGGTTGGAGACTGGACGATAATTAGCCAATACTGCCGGGTCCAGGGAAGGCTTCTTGAGGAGAGGCCTCACCACCGCCTCTTTCAAGGCGGCGGGAAAGACACCCTCACCCAACGAAGCATTTATAATCCCCTGGAGCCAGCCTCGCGTCACCTCCCGGGAAGCCAGCACTAACCAGGAGGGACACGGGTCCAACAAACATGTGGTCGCGTTCAATCTACCCAGAATCCTGTCCACGTCATCTGGGGTCACAGGATCAAACTCATCCCAGATAACAGTCTCAAGACCTGTCTCTGTCACCCTCGCTGGATCTATCCCGTCAGAGTCCAGACCTGCCCGAATCTGAGTGATTTTGTCATACAGATATTGAACAAAATCCTCGGCTCTCCCCTCCAAGGGGTCCTCCCGCGCTTCCTGGTGGAGCAGGGAGCGGGTCACCCTAAACAGGGTGGCCGGGCGATTATCTGATGACGCAATAAGAGCAGTAAAATGAGTACATTTTGCTGCTTTTATCGCCACTAGGTAACTCCTAATATAAGATCTTACCAGTGTTCGGTCAGATTCAGAAAGACTAGCCCTCCAACAGCTCTCTAGGCGTCTTTTCCAGCGCTTCATCTCCCTCAGCTCCTCGGTGAACCAAGGAGCCAGGCGAGATCGGCGCCGGGTCAGAGGCCGCAAAGGCACGACTCGATCCAGGGCTCCAGCAGCCGCCCTATCCCAGGCGGCCACTAGGTCCCCAGATGAGGCGTGAGCCAGAACCTCCGGGATTGGCCCAAGCTCCATCTGGAACCTATCCGGTTCCATCAGGCGCCTGGGGCGGTACCATCTTACCGGTTCCGCCTCCCTGCGGTGGGGTGCTGCGGTTCGAAGGTCAAGGCGAAGGAGCGAGTGATCTGACCATGACAAGGGCTCGATGACTATATCCCCTATCTCGAGATCACTCAACCACTGTCCAGAGACAAAAACCAAGTCCAGTGTGTTTCCCCCAGTGTGCGTAGGGCCATGAATTAGTTGGGTCAGGTCCATGGCCGTCATGGAAGCCATGAACTCCCGAGCCACCTCAGACGCCTCACCCACGGATGGCAGGTTGAAATCCCCCATGACCATAAGTCTGGGGGTATCAACCGCCACCGCGGCAATAACGTTGAGTAGCTCAGGCAGGGCTGCCGCCACGTGGCAGGGAGCCAGGTACGTGATCAGCAAACCCATCTGAACCCCATGGCCCCACTTCACAAGGAGGGACTCACAACCAGCTGTCTGAGGTACAGTGGTCTCCCTCGGCCTAAGGCCTTCTCTAATAATAACCGCTACTCCCCCACCCCTCCCGTGTGACCTTGGCTGATGGAATGCGTGGAAACCTGGTGGGCACATTTCTACCAGAGGGACCCCTCCCTCTGGGCCCAACCAGGTCTCCGTAATACCCGCCAGGTCCGCTCCCCCCTCGTAAACAAGATCACAGATGAGGGGGGCTTTATTTACTACAGACCTGGCGTTGCACAACATCAGACGAAGGCCCGGGCCCTGAAGGTCTGTACTACCTGCAGAACGGGTGGAGCCTTGGGGGCCGGAGCACTCTACCGCTTGAAGATAGCGGGTGCGTGCTCCCTTAACATGATATGGCCCCCTGCTCCCGCCATATCTACCCCTCCCACACACAGTACCGATGGTGAAAGCATAGTCTGGGCCAGCTCGACCCCCTCCGGATCCCCCACCACCCCCGCCGAACGTCCTGGCCAAGCCCGACTCTCCCCCTAGTGGGTTATCCCCCAAACCCACAATCCTAATTCCAATCCCACCCCCCTCCCCCCTCCCAGAACCCCTTAAAAGTTTAAACAAGGACAATTTTAAAAAACCCCGCAGCCCCCTCTTTGCGGCATGCCACCTCTCGGGACTCCAGAGCCCGTCATCGAGGTAGGCCCTCGATAGAATGGAGGGCCAAGCCTGCGAGAGGGGGGAGTCTCGCAGACCAAGAAGCTCCGCTGCTGAGTACATTAATCATAATGGGTAACACGACCATATCCTGAGGGTGTATATAAAGGACCGAGGAGAAGATAAAAGAATGGGGGATCTCAGAGACATATTTGCAGGACCAAGTCCCCTGTCCCCTCACAACAGAGGACATAGTCCAAAGCCAGGACGACCACAGTTTCAAGGGGGAAATAGATCTAACCACCCTCTCACGGTGGTTAGGTCAGCTGGACAACCCCCTCTTGTGGTGGGTTGGCAGCAATGAACCGATGCATATAGACAACGTCCGGGGGTCAGGTCCAAAAATCGCCCTCTCACAGCGTCCAGGGGTCAGGTCCAAAAATCGCCCTCTCACGGCATTTTGTCCGGTGGTAAAGACCGATGGTAAAGTCCCCTCGCTGGTAAAGTCCCCTCGCTGGTAAAGTGCATATGTGTGGAAAGCTGGTAAAGTGCATATATGTAGAAAGCGTCCCGGTTCAGCCCCCAGGGGCTCTGACACCTGGCCACCCTCTCACGGTGGTCAGGCAGATGTCTAGCCCCCTCAGCCGACGGGATGCAGCCATGTACCGGTCTCCCATTCAGATGGAAATAGCCCTCTCCAGAGTCAGGGGGATTCAGAATAGTAATAATAATAGGGCATAGCGCCAATGAGTCCCACAGGCTGACAGTTGGTCCAGGTGGGCCCAGTTCTAAAAGGGAACGCTGGAGGAGAAAGAAATGGGGCAGAAATGGGGCGGCTTTCTCAAGCCCCCCGCCCCCCGCACAACCACAAATTGAGGCCTCCCGAGGCCCAGAAAATCGCTCCGGGTCCTTTCCGCCCAACCGTGGTTGCAGGTCTCCCAGACCTGTTGGTTTGTTGCCCCCCCCAGCTCCTACTCCAAAAAGGGGGGGGTCCCCAGCGCCGTCTGACCGCCAGCTAGCCTCCACAGCAACCGCCATCGCCGCCACCACCGCGCCATCGTTGCCAGCCCCCGAAGAGCCTGGCGACGTCCCAGAGGTCTTCAGGGGGTGTCCGACACATCGTGTAGCACTTCGGGCCACCCCCCCGGGCTTCGAAACTTGCCGCGCGGCGGGCGCCCCCCGGCACAGCGCCGCTCCCACTAATTGATGGCTCCGGCTGTGAAAGAAACGCTGCCGACGCCCAGCTGATCAGCCTGGCGCTCCACGCATCGCCCCTTCCCCTCGGCTCAGTCACGGAGGGAAAGAAAACCCTCTCCGTGCTGGCCGGGAGCTCCCCTGACAGGGGGAGTCAAGAACTACCTGTCAAGGTAGTTCAAGGACTACCTGTAGCCCTCCAAGTTCAATCTGGAATAATCTACCAGAATAATCTACAAACTGCTGGAATAATCTACCAGAAAAATATGATAAACTCTGAGAGAATGAGAGAAAAGAGTGAGCCACGAAGAAGATACCTTCTTCATGGTATGGCCCTCTGCCTCCAAATTCAGTTCCAACCCAGACAGCTGATGATCCCAATTCTCTCAGTTTCTTGAACAGAAAAAACTATATACCGCTTCATAGTGCTTTACAGCCCTCTCTAAGTGGTTTACAGATTCAGCCTATTGCCCCCAACAATTTGGGTCCTCATTTCACCCACCTCGGAAGGATGGAAGGCTGAGTCAACCATGAGCCTGGTGAGATTTGAACTGCCAAACTGCTGGCAGCCAGCAAGCAGCAAAAGTAACTTGCAGTACTGCACTCTAACCACTGCGCCATCACAGCTCAATGCAGCTATTTCTGGCAATTGTTGCTCAATTGTTGCTCAGTGGCTTCCAACTCTGCGACCTAACAGACATCAATTCACTGGATTTGTCTGTCAAGAACTCCTTTTCTAAAGATCACGTCTTATACAATAATTCTTGCTTTTGCATTACCTTTACAGTAGGCCTTGGAACAACTTCTGCAAGAAGTAAACAAGAGACAATTCCACACTGCTATTCTTCTCCCATCATGTAATATTTAGATACTGGTTTGACTTTTGAAATGTATTTATATTTCAGCATAGTTTTATATTATAAACAAGAAATGAAAAAGATAAGAAACAAGATAGCAAGGTAAGATAAAAATTCAGCTGGTGTTAGTTATAAATCCTTATGAAATTTCAGAATTAAAAAATATAAATCAAAATATACAAACTAAGATCTCTAAAAATGCTAGCTACACGTTCAAATAAAAGTTTAGTACAAGTTTGGAACAACAATTGCCACTTAATTATTATGACATCCATCTGAATGATCTTCTTATCATTTTATATCATTGCATGACTTTACACTCTGTTGTTTACATTATCCACTATACAGCAGATTCCTTGACAATGTGCTTGTCTATGACAGTAAATTCCTTCATAATCTCATTCCTTATGCTGTACTTTAACACTAACACTACCGTTGGTATAAAATCTTTATTCATTACAGAAAAAAAAAAATCCAGAGGCCAGAGATCATAGAGTTAATCAGAGATGTGAAGGCCTAGACATGACAGCCCTTTTTTCCAGTGCAACAACCTTGACATTTATTTTTGCACTACAACATGCAAAGAAATGTCCAAGTATGTTGCTAAAAACAAGAATCTTACAAATACTGCTTCTATCATTCATTCTCTGCCTCTGGATCTCAAGAAACTGATGTCACGAGAGAAAAGAGTATTTCACACATAATCTTTACTTTTTACTTTAAGTCCTTTCAGATCTTTCATTCACCTTTATGCTGGAGGGAGAAAAATGTTGAGAAAAACCTGCACTGCAAGAATATATTATTCCACGATAGACAAAGTCAACCCAAAAGCGCTTGCTGGAAGCACTAAAATGAAGATTAAGTTTAAATATTTTAGACACACAATGTAAAGGCATTAATAAAGTCATTGGAGAAGACTCCCAATACTTCTGAAAATGGAAGGCTGAGAGAAGATAAAATGACTAGATACAGTCAGTGAACTCACAAACAAAAATTTAAAAGAACACAAAGAAGGTATTGCTGACAGACTATCCTGGAGAAATTATGCCCATTGGATCACAAAGTGTTGGAAATAACAGGATAAGTATTAGTTTCCTTCAGATAGCTTGCACAACAATTGCTATAATTCCCAGGAGAATAATTATTTCAGAAGAGAAAATATTAAATATACAGGTAGTCCTTGACTTACGATCACAATTGAGCCCAGAATTTATGTTACTCAGTGAAAAATTTGTTAAGTGAATTTTGCCCATTTTATGAATTTCTTGCCACGTTTGTTAAGTGAATCACTGCAGTTGTTAAATTAGTAATACATTTGTTAAGTGAATCTGGCTTCCTCACTGACTTTTGCTTGTTAGAACATTGCAAAAGGCAATTACATGACCCTGGGACACTGAAACCGACATCAACGTGAACCAGATGCCAAGCATCCGAATGCAAATCACATGATCACGGGGATGCTGTAACACTCATAAGTGTGAAAAATGGTCATAAATCACTTTTTTCAGTACCATTATAACTTCAAACTATCACTAAATGAACTGTTGTAAGTCAAGGACTACCTATACTTCTTTGGCTAAATCCTGGCAGGAGTGAATCAAGTGGGGGTTATCAACCTTTATACATCTGATGTGTTCACTGCTGTATTAAGCACAGTCTTCTATTGCTAACAGGAGACCAGGAGAGATCAGGCTAATACAGATAGTCCTCGATTTACAACAGTTCATTTAGTAATCGTTCAAAGTTACAATGGCACCGTTTTTCACACATCCCCATGGTCATGAGATCAAAATTCAGATGCTTGGCAACTAACTCATATTTTTGACAGTTGCAATATTCCAGGATCATGTTATCACCTTTTGCGACCTTCTGACAAGCAAAGTCAATGGGGAAGCCAGATTCACTTAACAACCATGAGACCAACTTAACAACTGCAGTGATTCACTTAACAACTGTGGCAAGAAAGGTCGTAAAATGGGGCAAAACACACTTAACAAATGTCTCACTCAGCAACAAAAAAGTTGGGCTCAATTGTGGTCATAATTTGAGGATTTCCTGTATGTTATTCCGCGGCAAGGATTTACACAGACTGAGTGCAGACACTGAAGAGTCCTTACTTCTTACACATTCCCCAAATGTACTCCCTATAGAAGTAATACAAATTGAAGGGTCCCCCGAACTTTTGACAGAGTCTAACACAAGTATGTGATCTCTGAATATTTTTGTACAAAGGTATCCATGGCTTTGGAGATCCTAACCACCACTTTACATTGTGCCCAGAAACAAATCAATTCTCAGTGATCACACTCTTCTTACGCTCTTTATTAACTTGATCTGATGTCAACCAAGATTATGTTCAAATGACTCCCATCAAAACTTTGACAGTCAAATTGATCTAAACCCAACATTAGACTTTTCCTTCTCTTATCTTAAGGGCACCTATATCTACGTTTTATTAAAATAACTAGCTGTTCATAAACTAATGTGTATATGGGCAACAGTTGTTTGCATTATACCTTTGCAGCAAACATCATGGATACTCATCAGCAGCATTACACAACTGTGGCAACACTATCCTGGCCCAGGACTACAATGCCAGCATTATGAAGAAGGCATTATAATACAGAGCCTCCAAAGAGCTGGCTGCATATTTTAATTTGCAATTTAAGCACTCTGCTTTAAAAAATGACATTGCAGAAATGTGAAAGTGCAAAGACACAGCAACAGCACCACGCCAATCTCATGGTTTACAAACTTTTAATGCTCAAATGAAAATGTATATATAAAGGCCTGCAGGGAGAAATGGCACTCTTTTTCTTTTCAAGAAAAGAAGAGCACCATACTATAAAACCTCCTTGTGCAGATATTGCAGCCTGTCTCATCAAGGGTTCATTATCATTATTCATTGGGTTCATCATCAAGGGTTCATCATCATTATTGCAGCCTGTCTCATCAAGGGTTCATCATCATTAGGCACTGTAAGGCAAACGACCTGCACAGGGCCATCTCTCTCTCCCCTTATCACCTGAAACGCCTCCCCTTTTATCTTCTTTTCCCGATTTCGACCAACTTCCTCGACGATCTTATTCAAATAAACTGGACTATAAATGCCACCAGTGCTTTTCTAGCAGGAACGGGAGACCTGGCACCATTGATCCAGGCAGTCTTCCCAAAAACCAGACTCTCCCCCCTTTTCCTTCCACCGTAATTATCTTAATTTTATTATTTTTTTTGCAAAGACAAGGAGATGGGACTATGGGTCCCTCGATACCTTTCTATAATTCCATAGCCCGAGCTCCTCCGCCCCTTTTGAATCTCACTGTTTTTAAGTCTCCCCGCCTCTCGCTTGCTCCTGGACTGCCAAATCTCTCTGCAATCCCCCCAGCCACATTCACAACCTGCAGAAAAACGAGAGATCGCTCACCAGCTAGAGGACCCTTGATCGGCAAGATCCCGAGCGCAGAAAGACGCCGGCCGCAGCCGAGGATCCCCCCGGTACGGCTCATCGTGAGAGCGGCGGTGACAGCGTCAAACCACAGCGCTTACCCCGCCACTTTACCCGGCCTTCATCAGAACGCAAGGGAGCCAATCACGGAAGGCAAAGTATATATCATTAACATAGATCCGCCCACCCGTCGCCGGAAAACTTCTTTTTGACACGCCCCCGCGATCAAGTCAAATGCCTATCACGTCGATTGCTGTGAGACCTTTTTGACCAATCCGGAAATCGAGAGTCTACGAAACAAAACGCAGGATGTACTCTGTTCTTAGTAGTGGTGTTAAACTCTATCGTGTATCCTTCGCTCAACGAAACTAATATAAAGCGTAGGTTTAGTAACTTTAGGTATTTCGATTTGCATAAGATGGGTTTGCAAATGGGGCTAAACCATAACGATTTAATAAAATCATGGTTATTAGATTCTCACAATGCATTGAACTATAAACTAACCTAGCATTTATGCTGTGTATATGTGGTCAGTTATGATATACAGTATTAAACTATGGCTTTGATAGTTAACCTAGGGTCACCAGATGTCTGAACATCTGTTGGACGTGGATAACTGGAAAGGAGAACAAATGGGGAAGAGGAGGACACACTGAATGTTCAACTTTCTGGGCATCTGTGTCCAAAGTTATAGCAAAACACTGCCAGATGTGTACAGTAGTTAGGTCTACATGGATATGAAATTACTTTTAACCACTCAGAAAGTCTAGTTGTTCAATTGCAATATTTTCCAACTTTTTTTTTATTGTCCATAACAGATGCTAGCAATAATATAGAATCAATGGCGATGTTCTTTCTTTCTTACATTTCAAATTTTACTATGGAAATGTATGAGGAATTATATGATTTAAAGACTACCATGATTGTAGATTTGACGGTGTGTGTGTAAATCTAGGCTGTCAAATCTGTCAATGAACAAGGAAAGAAAGAACAGATGATTTATAAGGTCTCAGTACATGTTTGAATGACTACTGCTATGAAACAGCCCAATTTAAAACAAAACCAAGACATTCAAAAAGCCAGAAAGTATTTGATTTTAAGACTATGCCTCCCAGACTGAAGACATGAGGACAAAAAAGAAGACGTGTCCTTTTGCCAGACATCTAATGAGCTATGGTGAACCCAGTGATAGGGAGTAAGGGTCAACAATTGGGAATAATACAGAAGAAAAAAGTGAGCTGGAAAATTATGCAATTTTCCAGAGTATGGTTATATTCTGTCCAGTGCAACATAATACTCTGTACTCTGTACTTTACATACAATTTGTGCATTATTTTTTTCCTTTTTTATTTTACTGTTTCTACCTTAGCTAAACACGGAAAGCATGCTCAGATAAAAAACCTATCTTAGGCTAATTTTAATGTAAATGTACTTAGAAAAAAAATGTTTCCGAGAATCTATTTAAAAGAATCTATTTAAAAGAGCTTTTTGTTTGAAAGTCCCTTGAGGCTGAATAAAAAACAAGGATCTGCTTTGTTTAGATCCTATCTGGATTACTGGTCACTTCTGAGCACTATACTGTAAGGATTCAGAGGAACTGAAACAAATTCAGAGAACAGCCGTGAGAAAGACTAGAGGACTAGGGGAAAAAAAGGCTTGTGAAAAATGTTGAGCTGAGCAACTTTAGCCTTGAGAAGAGAAGGTTGGAGAGGGGTGACATGATAGCTCTCTTCAAATACTTGGAAAGATGTCATGGAAAAAAGGTCATAACCTAGTTCAAAGTGCCAGATGTGGAATAATGGATTTAAGTTAGAGAAAGGCAAATTTGATTAAATGTTAAATGTTATTCCTAACAATAAACACTGTTCATAAGCGGATCCAGTTACCTAGAAAAGTGGTGAGCTCACTTTCACTGGATGTGTTCAAGTGGAACTAGACAACCATCTTCAGTTTGGATTCCTGCACTTAGTAGCAGGTTGGCTTTGACCAGACAAATGGCTTCTTTGAACTTTATGATTCTATAATTTCTGCAATTTCAGTGAATACTTCATGATTTTAATGAGATGTCTCTTGGCTCCAATCTCCATATTAAACCTTGGCAACTTGAAAAATACAGAAACAGTTTACTACTTAACCAGTCTCTCCTTAGCTCATCAGGTGGAGAACCTGGTCAACCTTTTCTGTAGACAGGAGCTTAGCACTGTTAATGATGGTACTCATTGTTAATTGGTTCCAGGAAATGTGATGAGTACCAAAAACAATGAGTACCAAACATATTTTCCCATTAGGAATAATGTAGTGAGTCACAAGGCAGTTGACACCGACAAGTTCTAGCTTGGGTGTTGAGTGCCAAACGAACGATGAGTACTAGGACAAAATTTTCACAACAATATGTATTGAGTATCAAATTAGATGAGTTTCAAAACAGTTGAGTGTCGGGACTACTGTACGAAATTACATTGCACAAATTGTACAAAATTTGCCAAAAGTAAGTTGCATTAGATTCATGGAAATGTCCATTCTGATCTTATGCATATTTACCTGGGAGTTCCCTTAAGAACTGTCATTTTATTTTCAAGTTAACTAATTTAGCATTGTAGCCTCTTATGTTCTGTTTTGTACAGAATACTAAATCATAATGCAATTTATTTTTGCTTAACTTTATTTGTAAACCCGATCACCATGGATTGTTCAACAAATCATAATACAAGTAGCCCTCAACATACAATAGTTCATTTAGTGACCACTCAAAGTTACAAGAAAAAGTGACTTATAACCATTTTTCCACACTTTCGACCTTTGCAACATCCCCATGGTCATGAGTTCAAGCTTGACAACTGGTTCGCATTTATGATGGTTGCAGTGTCTCGCCATCATGTGATCTTCTGATAAGCAAAGTTGATGGAGAAGCCAGATTCACTTAACAACCATGTTACTAACTTAACTGCAGTGATTTAATAACTGTGGCAAGGAAGGTTGAAAAATGGGGCAAATCTCACTTAACAAATGTCTCACTTAGCAACAGAAATGTTGGGCTCAGTTGTCATAAGTCGAGGACTACCTGTAGTTTAAGGTCTTGGCTTAATGTTATATCAGAATTCACTTATCTGTGAATTTTGTCACCACACAAAAGGATTTCTGCTCTTTCCTTACTTCTCTCCCCCATTTCCCTCCTAGTTCTATTCTGGAAATTCTTCTAACAGTTCAGTGCACATCAGGAAGAATCATGGGGATGCTGCAACAGTCATGTGACTTTTATCAATGCTATTGTAACTTTAATGGTTGCTAAACAAATGATTGTAAGTCAAGGACTTCCTGTAATAATGTAGTGGGCATTTCGGCGTCAAGCTCAAAGCTTTATATGTTCCTTTTTGTTTCAAATTATGAAAACAAAATGTATTCTGTGTTATAGAATGGCTAGTTTATATTATGGAAAAGTAAAAAGTTGAGGTTCAATGTTAATGCTTTATTCTACAAGAGAGTCGGAAGTCAATGCTTTTTTTTTTCTTTTCTTCCTCCCCTCCTCACTTGTCTTTCCCCTTTTCCTCCCCACTGTGTCTTACTATTTGCTTTTGTATTTTGTATTTTATTCTATAATCTAATAAAATGTTTAAACCAGAAAAACCTGATCGCAGATAGTAAAGACCTAAAAAGAAATGTGTTCTGCTTGGAATCTTTTGCTAATGTTCTCGTGAACATTACCTTGAGTAATTACCTCTCCTTTATAGGTAATATATTTTTTTGAAAATACATCTCTGTTTTTAAATTAAAAATATAAAATAACACAACAACAAATCACCCTGGCAATCATCGGGTATATCAACCTTTACAAACTTGATGCCCTGGGGAGGTTATGAGGCTGCCGTTTCAATCATTCCTTTACAGCCATGTTTCAGGGAATTGTAGTTGAAGATTTCTGAGACACCTCAGTTTGGGGAAGACTTATACGTTGAAGGATGAGTATATTGTACCCATCTCAGAACTATCCTTGTTTCCAGACTATGCCTTTTTAAAAAAGCTATTTATTGAAGACCTTGAAGCCAAAAATATCCACTTCCTAAAAGGTCCATTAGATAAGCCATCCATGGAAAAATAAAGCAAGGCTACGTAAACTATCTTTTTAAAATATATCACATAGTTGCCACGTCGTATTTCATCTGGTGGTCTTTGATCTGCAGAATCATGAATATTTATAACTTCCATAGGAATAATGGAAAATGTACCATAGTTTGTGGTGCCCTGACATTGTCAGTTTTCTGTTTAATTAAGTAGCTGGGAAAACTGAAGACTCTTATTTAAAAACGGTCTGTTTTGTGTTGTAAACCACAAATATCTTATATGATTGAACTTGGATTTAAGCTGACATTTTAAGGTGGTTTGTGCATATACTTGTTTCCATTGCTCACCGAACTGACAGTATTGATATATGTGATAGATGCAGGCTGAGTATAGTAGTTGCCAATGTCAAGAACCTAGTTATAATTACATTTACCATCGAAATTCATAGGAATAAAAAATTGGCAGAGATTTTGCATTTTTAAAGTGGCTGTTAGGTCATTGCTTCATTATATGCATAAGTAGCAAAACAGTCTGCTTCCTAAACCACACTCTTGACACTCTTGTTCAACAATATTGTGGCAACCCTGCAGGCTAAACACACATTGGCATCACCAAATAACTGATGATCTTGTTAGCACTAATTTTAATTACAGGTAGTCCTCAACATTAGACCGCAATTGAGCACGAAATTACCATTGTTAAGCAAATTACTCATTGTTTTGCCCCATGTTATCACCTTTATTGCCACAGTTGTTAAGTGAATCATTTGGTCATTAAGCAAATCTGGCTTCCCCCAATTGACTTTGCTTGTCAGAAGCCAGCTGGGAAAGTTAAAATATTGATCACATGACCCCATGCAACATCATAAATACATGCCAGTTAGCAAGCATCACTGGCTGGGGAATTCTGGAAGTTGAAGTCCATACCTCTTAAAATCGCTAAAGTTGAGAAACATTGCTGTAGGCCAGTGTTGGCAAACCTTTTTGGCACCGAGTGCCAAAATGGGAGCGTGCGTGGGGGTGAGAGTGCCAGAAACTGGAAGATCAACTCC